TGGAAAACAGTTTCCGAAATAAATTCGATACGGTTGAAAGCACCAACTCTTGTCTTGAAGGAGGACATCGTCGCCATGCCCTCGTCGAAATGTCCACGGGTGATTAGAAAGAGACCTAATGCAAACAACCGAGGAGGGAGGAGGGCCGGAGAGTACTCTGCAGGGATATCTGAAGGACTAACACAATCCCTGTGGACAAGATAAAGGTAAAACAAAAAATTAGTCCTCCGAAAACAAAGCAGGAAACAATGATAGACAAAAAAGGGAGGACAATATGTCTATCACAAAACTTGTCCTCTGTAAAAGTATTTATCAGTCCAAAGGTGGGAGACCAAAAAAAAATTTAAGAGGACAAATTTTGTTTTCGATATATAAGTCCTCCAAAATTTGATAGACAACAAATTAACTAGAGGACAATTTTCTGACCTTGAAAGATTTAGGGGATCAGAAGGGAGATTATTCTGGTCTTCCGGGGGATCTGGCCCGAGATTAGCTGGAGAGGCATCTCCTTCATCTGTTGTCTTCGATCTGTGGAATCCGACAAAAGTTTTTTAGATCAACCTCACGAAGGAGTGAAGGACAACAAATAGAAATCGAGGACAACTTAGGTCAACACCAAAACTTGTCACTCTCAAAAAACAGTTGCTTGATGACAACGAACCTTGGAGATGGTACGTAATCGGAGGGAATATTGTCGTGGACTTCCGGGGGATCTGGCCCGAAAAGGGCTGTTGGAGAACCGGCGATTTGAGCCGTCTCTGTTGTCTGCGATCTGTCGAATAAGATAAAAGATTAAAATTGTTAAGCGCAGACAATTTTTTATTAAAAGAGTGGACAACATCTAGAACACTAATTACATTACCTAGATGGGGAGGAATTCACCGGAGATAATCGCAAAGAATCGGAAGGATTGGAAGCGGCGCCTTGAACCACAACTGTCCGGTTAGATCTGGTGGACAACAACAGATAAAAAGGAGAAATAAAGGTTAGAAAACCAAAAAATCCGACAAAAGTCTCCAACTAAGTAAAATTGTGAAAATCCAAACCTAGATGGTGACGACATCGACGGGAGATGTTCGTTCAGGTCATCGGATGTTGACGTAATCAACGGGAGATGTTCTTTCATGGCAGCTGATGGATTATTCAAGGGAAGGGGAGAGGTCGAAGAGGAGGGTTTATCCGGATCTGTTATCTTCCCACTGGATGAAATATGAAGAATAAATTGTTGGTTAGTAACATGAACAAAAGCATAAACCATCGGAGAGTAGAGATGCCCAAAAATTACCCAAACTTAGTGTTTGAGGAATCGAAGTCGTCATCCTTCGCAGTCCTCGGATTTAGAAAAGCGAAAGGGTTGTATGACATGATAACAGAATCGGATCTTTAAAAATCGAAATCCCTTTGTTGGTTATTGCTCTTTATCTTCCGAAATTTGGAAGAAATGAAGAACCCTAATTCACTCTTCTGTTGATCGAAAGAATATGAAAGGTTCGCTCGAAAATTGTTTTCGCGGCTAAAACTGTCGAGAAAAAAAGAAAATGGTAGTTTTCAAGACAGATCTGACGTGTCACTGTTTTAAGTCAGACAGTTTAACTTTGTTCTGCAGAAAACGACTCCTCTCTTGAAGGGCATAATAGTCTTTACATATTAGGGCAGTTGTTGGGCTGTGGCACATTGAGAAAGCATTATTGGGCTGTGGCAATTTTGAAAAGATTTTGAACAGTGTATGGCACATCTCTTAGTTTTCTCGATATTGGTGATACAACACATACGTAAATATCCAAATACATTTAATTTCCTCGATATCCACATTTAAGTATATCCGTGAACTTTTAGATCTGGTACAAAATGGATTACTTGATAGTTGAGATCGGATAATAGATACATACAGAATTTACCATTTATATCCACGTATATTTTTCAAATAAAAGGACACTCTGAAAAGTAAAATAAACGACTAAATAATCAACTATCAGGTGAAAGAAAAGTGGGTTAGTGATTTCTTCACCAAATTTTAGTGTGAAAACTACACTAAGTCACTAATAAATATATTGTTATTTCAACATCAAAAAGTGTTATGGTTGAAAATGTCTTAATAGGCTAATACTAATATTTCAAGTCAGAATGTTAAATCTCTGGGATATGGAGAAAGGAACAATTAATAAATATTAATTTCTTAGTATATTTATCAAAAAAAATTTGATCAACTGAAAATTTATTTGCTCACTTTATGTTAAACTAAATAATGCACATTAAATAAAGAGATTGAAAAACAATATATATATATATATATATATATATATATATATATATATAAACAAAAATACAAACCTTTAATTTGTGTTTTTGTGCTGCATGGTTCCCTACTCCCTGATCCTTTCCAGTGATAAGTGGAATCTTTTGTGTGATTTTTCCTTGTCTGTTTGTATTTCTCCTCCATTTTAAAAACCGTTCTTGTTGTATATGGGTTTTAAAAATTTGATAATCATCTTCATGTTAACCATGGACTTAACAAGTATGTGTAGGCAACACCAATGTTGTAGTTTTTTTTTCAGAATTTGGTTATCATTTTGGTCCGGATTGAACTAAACCAAACTATATATGAACCAAGCTAAACCATCAAAATCAAACAAAATTGAATTAAACAAAACTCAGAAGAAAAAAAAGAAGTGTTTTCAGCTTTCATGTACCTTACTTAGGATATGATCATATGAACATCGTCCACAGATTCTGTTTAGTTTTATTCTTTTGTGATTAATCATATCAATATATTGGTGCAGAAGAATTACCGGGCAAATCTCCTTTGGCAGAGAACTCACTAAAAAGCAATGCATAAAGATATGCAAAGATCTAAGTAATGGTTTCCTGCCAATAGAGATCTTACCCTGTAATGCATTTCCACCTTTGATCCATCTCACATGTTCACAATTGTAACCTGCAAATTTGATGTTTGTATTTATATAAACTTGGAAAGAAGCATATTCCACGGTACAATGCTACTGCATTGTAAATAAGACTGATGTTTTATTCCGACAATGATCTCTTCTTCGTATAATTTCTTAGGAATAATCTTTCATGCCACAAGTTTTCATGGTCAGACATATTCCTAAATAAAGAGCAGTCTACCACCCCTTTTTTTTTACAATATTCAAATCCTACGTAATTAAGTAAAAGGATCGTACATTTATTATTTCAATTCACAAAATTTAATCTCTAGTCTTAATTAACATCAGAAGTCAATACTAATGCATATGTCTGTTACATGTAGTATGTTCTAGACCTCGTAGATTAAGCCATTTTTTTAATTCTATTTAATACACTATGTTATCTAATGTCAAGCCCTTTCATTAATTTAACCCAATTATTTGTCTGATTTGGTTGATTTGAAAGTGTTTTGACCATGGTTTAGCCCAAAAATTGAGACGGCTGTGACTTGACAAAATGTGTTTGAGACCCTTTTTTTGGGGCAAAATAGATCTTTTGTTTAAGAGTTCTATATAAGAGAAAATAATGATAAGAAAATAAAAGAATGCTTAATGTGGAATAAGATAAAAAGAGTGGTAATAATAAAGTAATAAGTAGAAAGTGATTCTTGAAATGGAAGATCCGTAAGAATGTTCTTGGGATTTTTATTAAGCTTCTACCTGAAGACGCATAAAATGCAAAAGCTCGAAACTGCAAGTTTCTCTACAAAGTTACAAATATGTACATTTATGCCACTCAATAAAGTCAATCAACTTTGAAAAAGACCAAAATTCGAATTCTGCATGTATACTACAAAAAGTACATTAAAGTAATTGACTTTATAATTATATATAGAGTCATTACTTTGGAGATCATTTCATTTAGTTAATTTGCCTATAAGTACATTATAGTAAAATGACATACTTTGTATCCTATTCTTGTATCACCTTTTAAGATTTGTGATTTTGCTTGTATAATGACAAGAGACCAAAAGTTCTCAGCTTTAAGTACGGCATATTTCTAAGTATATCCAACTCCACCAAAGATCATATACTGATGGAAAAACCACTTGTAATTGTAAGTTTGTAACCATCGTCCGTTACGTTGGTGAATATTACTAAGTCTGCTTAATAGTAGAATTTTTAGGATTATTTAAGAATTGTGATTGCTTTATCGATGGAGGTTGAATATGGATTCACATTAGTTGTTATATTGGCCACTCCGTTATTTATTTGATTGTTGTGTAGATTAGTTGGGTTTTTGGGTACATGAAACTCAGTTACTTAAATAAAAAAATTTGAAAGGTAAAATTTCGAAAATGGAACAAATATTTTCATTCGTTTTAACTTTATGATTGGCGTGAAACAGAAGGAGTATATCATAAACACCATCGACATAATTAATTTTCATTGAAAACTTATATATACTTTGATTATCAAAGAAAAATAAAATACGATTGGCTTCGTAAATAGGGCATGGTAAGTAAACAGTACACTCAAGACTAATCATTTCACAACGATACTACATTGCACCAAAATACTCATTAATAACTCCATATGGTTGTTATTGTGGTTGCTGGTCAGTGTCATATATGTAGAGACGTATATAGCAACAATAAATCGTAGCTAAAATAATAATTTGACGTATTGCTAACCCATTTTACGAAAGAAAACTAAAATATGTGTTATGCAGAGATGGATTTCTACATGCACTTACATGTTTTTGTAGTAATTCCAAAAATATAAGTATATATATAATAACTAGCAATATACCTAAAGTTAAGTAAGCTATGGCGTCCAGGAAGCTCTCGCTGAAAGTTCCGAGTTAGATACACATATGCTCTATGAAACACGGGATGTTCCACCGAATATGCTAATGTATAAGACAAATGTGCATGAAATTAAATCAGACACCCTTGACCCCTCTATATATAGCTTTGCTAGGGTCGATATCTAATTATTACTCAAAATAAAAGAACTAAAATGAAAGACAAGTACAGAAGTTCAATGGTTGTGAAAAACGAGAAGACGATGCATGGTTGGATTACAGGGCAAATACTCTATTGGCAGATATATAGTTTACGTTACATCTATATTATTTATTATCGATGTATGAAAAATTCTTTACTGCCAAAGGAGATTTGCCCCGCAATTCATCCCATGCAAAAGAAGATCAATAGAAACGTAACATCTTGCACGATCACAAGAAAATGGTAAGGTTACATTTGAGTAAAAAAAGGATTTAATTAATATGCATGCATTGATATGATCATGCATTGTCATAGATGTTCTTTTCAGTGTAGCTTTTTCAAATAACAAATGGTGTTATATATGAATTATACCGACTTAATAAAATTACAACCTAGACTACATCGTTTTTAGAACAATATGATCCAAAACAGAAAACAAAAGAGACGTTTTATTGGTTACGAACAGTGAGAGGTACAACCAAAATAAAATTCAACTTGAGAGAGATAGAAAAACGGTCCTTTCCTAGAAATAAGATAAGTCAGTTTTGGACTGTACGCTACATAATGGCTCGAATCAAAGCTGAAAACATTAATGAAGATCCTTGGTGAAGCATCTAAGTAGTAGTAGTAAGCCGTAAAAATAGCTTCATGGTTGAACTTGGTGAAGCAAAAGGTTGGCTGGGGCTGGAAGAGCACGTGAATAGTTGATGTGAGGCTGAGCTGAGGATTGTTGGTGATTCTTGCTGCAAGAGGCAATTAAATTGAGGTGGAAAATTACATCCGAAGGAAAAGTAGTTTTGTATGATGTTGTTTATGTGTGGAAATATTCTTTACAAAGAGTAAATAGAGAGTATTGAATTGTATATTTGTATTGTTGTTATTATATTATTGAATGAAAGGTTACAACTTATATATAAGATATAACATAATCAAAGGACATAAATAAAGAGATACATAGAATAATATATGGGATTTGAGTTTTCATAAGTGATACAATGATACTCTTTCTTTAATAGTTTTTTTTTTGGGAAAATTAGCTTCAGTACAACTTTTTTCAAAAAGTTTAGGTCCAGTACCACTTTCTGAGTCCACTTAGCATCCATACCACATTCGTCATCTGGAAAGACGAAACTACCTTTCTGGCTGCGTCAGGAATGTGTCAGGGGAAGGAGCTACAGTCTGCCGTCCTTTTTCTCTCTCCTGGCGCATTGGTAACCGTTTTCGTCCCTCTGGTTGGTAAAACAAAGTTGTCCCCGAATAAATCCAGATCTTCGTAGTCTCCGAATTTTCTGCCGTCCACAGTCTCTCTCCTAACGCATTGGTAACCGTTTTCGTCCCTCTGGTAAAACAAAGTTGTCCCCGAGTAAATCCAGATCTTCGTCTTCGGCTCTTTGGCGGAATAAAATAAAGATCAAGTTGTCTCCAAGTAAATTCAGATCTCTGGCTGGTAAAACCACATCATCTGGCGATGAACAATCAAGAGAAGTTGTCCCCGAGTAAATCCAGATCTCTGGCTGGTAAAACCACATCATCTGGCGATGGACAATCAAGAGATCTGGACTTATTCTTGGGGACATCATTCACTCTATTTCATAATTATTGTCCATGGTAAATGTAAACTGCATTTAATGCAATGTTTTGTCCTTCTTCTCTGACACAAAGTTGTCTTTCAGACAAAGTTGTCCTTCTCTGACACAAAGTTGTCCCCGTTTCCCAACCGGCGTCTACTGTAGCTCCTTCCCCTGACACATACCTGACGCACAGAGAAGGGCAAAATCGTCCAAGAGTTGCCACACAAAAACCAAATGTGGTATGGATGCTAAATCCATTTCAAATGTGGTACATTTGCTAGGATTTTCCCAAAATGTGGTACATTTGGCAAAATTCTCTTTTTTTTTTTTTTTTGTCATCTCTTTCTTTAATAGTTTTGTATCACTTTCCGTTGGAGTCATTTCTCTCTAGTTGACTAAAAGATCTCATTGGCTCTTCGACTAACAACACAGCGTGTTTCCAGAGAGCGTGTGAGCAACGCGTCACGACCACGTGTTAAGTTGGATCTCTTTAATTTTGTGTTCTATTTTATTAAACAAACAATTATGCTACAAATTTAGATCCGATAATGGTGACACAACATATCACTAATAAAAATATTGTTGAGCTATGTCCTAGTCAAAATATATAAATTATAAATTTATCCTGTAATTTTCTAAAATATTCACGTTAACAAATGTATTATTATCAACTATACATGGCCATTTTTAAACACTTTAACGTATATATTCGATATGATCGCTTCGATAAATCAGCTGCTAGGTAGCTATGGAAAAATCTCCTTCCATCTTTAATTGTAACAATTAACAAAGGTTCGCTTGTAAGATTTGAAGATCATGTTATTTTATTCATGCAATAAGTTTAGAAACAAAAAAAGAAGAATATTATATTGTCTTTCTCGTTTATAAAACAAAAATAGAATCTTATCTAGAAAAAATGGTGAAATTGTGTCATGTCATTTTATCCGAAAATGTGATATTGCATCAAACAAAATGGTTATGCAAAATAGAAAAAAAGTATCTTGATGATCAAAACATGAAACTCTGAATTCTGAAACACTCTTTGGTTACAATTTTACCACTTTATTTTTTTCCTAAATTATTTAAAATCTAAATTTATTTGCTAATTTTTTTTTTTTTTTTTTTTGTATAACCGCGGGTCTCCCAAAGGCTTCCTAGGCCCAAAGACTAATCCCACGAGGCTGGCAATTCCCCTATGTAAACCTGCCAGTTGCCGTGCCTCGAACCCTGGTGGCGGAAGTCACTGCTGTGACCCTTAATTAGTCTAGTTCTATTCGCCTGCGACCTATTCCCACTTCAAATTTGACTTTCCCTACGTGTAAATGTGTAATGTGAACAAGTCCCCAACTAATAATTTTTAAATCTTTCTTCTTTGACGATTTAGTGACATATAAAATAGCTTGGAACCCAAATTAAAAACGTGAAACGAATTAAATTATGTAACCATACAAGCACACGTAATTCGTAACCATACGTCAATATAAATATTTATACAAGTTTTCATTCTCTCTCTCACAGTCTCACACAATCACAACCAAGTTCCTGAAGCTCTTTGATTCTTGAGGCTTGAGAGATGGAAATAAGCGAGACCTCAAAACAACATTCTGAACCAAACCCGAATGCCAAAATCGAAAGAAAAGTGTGGAAGCCTTCGAAACGGATCGATGAAGCATTGATAAGCTCCGATGATCTAACTTGGGGAACTAGAGGAGGATCAGAGAGGAGCAAAGGAGGAGGAAGAAGAAGAAGTGAGAAAAGAGAGAGTGTGTCTGATTTAGAAGCTGAGGAGACAAAAGGTTTTATGGATTTAGGTTTTGTTTTTACAGAAGAAGACTTACACTCGGAGTTACCGGAGATTCTTCCCGGATTGCGGACATTTCTCTGCCCGGAAGAACAAAATGAGAAAGAGCCGTTGGTGGTGCCGAGACCATATTTGTCGGAGGCTTGGGACTTTTACTATGATAAATGGAGTGGAAGAATAGAGAAAGATTCATTGGTTATAGATTTCAGAATGGCTAAGTTACGTGGTGACATGAACATGAAAGATAGCCTTAAATTGTGGGCTCGTTCTGTAGCTTCCAGTCTTAAATGAGATCCATTCTTATTTTGATGTTTCTTTTTGTATGAAAGAGTGCACATTAATCATTAGTAGTATACCCAATTTTTCTTGTTCCACTCTTATTATTTTTATTCACAAAACACTGATGTTAGGAAAACATCGAAACCAAAAAGGTTTCACTCAACACACATCTATTACAGAGCTAAATTAAATGGTGAATTGAATAAGAATAAGCCGAACTGTTAATGAGTACACTGGCATGGCTTGCACATAGAAAATAACAATTACAAATTTGGAAGATCTACAGCAAGTTACTCAAGTTCATATATAAAACACTTCAAACTTCATACTTGTCCTGTAGGATGTCCTAATCAAGCTTTAAAAACATTTATTGACAATTAGCAATAGCATATATATAGTTAGTGACAAAATGCTGCCAAAAAGAGAAGAAGCTAATGAATAAAGTACTAAAGAGGATTATAATGCTTGTGATTCATTTCTGATGTGTGTGTGTTTCCTTGCTCAAAGCCAATGCTAATCTTTTATGTATCCTTAGATGCATGTAATTAAAAAAGTCCTCAGACCATTGGGAATATTACACCATAGAGATACTCTATATTGACAGTTATCATAACTACAAGCATAAGGGATGACCAAAAGATAATGCTCCTGATTCAGTTAACTCATATAAGAGCATTTGGAGATAAATCATAGATGTATAACAGATTAAATGAGCTACAAAGATAATGCTGTTCATAGAAATCTTATAACCATTTGGATATATATAAACCAATGATTCAAATTTTAAGACTATTCTCCTTCATAAACGGCTAAGCATATAGACTTAATGAACCAAGATATGAGCAATCAAATTTCCACGATTCCGAGAACAAGGACATATAGAGTTTAACTTTACTTTATAAAGTGTGTCTCACCTTCTACATTGATATAAAGTGGAAGAAATATGATCTCCACACCTCCATGCATGAACATCTACCAATGTCCGCAGATTTTCTTATTTGCAGATTATTTTTAAATTTCTTTTTTTACATTCAACCAATCACATAGAACTATATTTTAAAATATTAGCGCAACAGAATTACCGGGCAAATCTCCTTTGGCAAGAACTCACTACAAAGCAATGCATAAAGAGATGCAAAGGTCAAGTAATGGTTTCCTGCCAATAGAGATCTTGCCCTGTAATGCAGTTTCACCTTTGATCTCATCTCTCCACAATTGTAACCTGCAAATTTGATGTTTGTATTTATACAATCCTGGAAACAAGCATATTCCGCGGTACATGCTACTATATTGGAAATAAGACTGAAGGTATTCGGCGAAGGATCTCTGGTGGGTATAATTTCTAAAGAATAAATATTTCACGCCACAAGCTTTATAGTAAGACATTTCTAAAGTAAAAGCAGCCTACCACTTTTTCCTTTAGGTATTCGAATTCTTGGCCATATCTTTTTAATTGTGCACACAACAAATAAAACATGGTAGATGTATCATTTCATTTTAGAATACTCAATATCTACTTTTAAACCTAGTTAAGGAGT